CAGATTTTGAAATTATCAGTAACAAAATTAATAACAATTTTACTACTTAAGTCATACATCGAACAGAAACTAGACAAAAAAAGGTCCACCCATTTTAGTCACATACGCTGTGCTCTTTTTTCACTGGATATCTCAAATTAAATTAATAACTCCATTCTTATGAACATACTGCAGCCTTTTGCACATGCTGCAGCAAACAGTCATTAGCATTATGATACAGATGTGACTGCACAGCATATATTTTATACCTCTCAGCCTTCATTCACCGAACATTAAAACATATCTTGTTTATTTGCAAAATTACTGCCTCCCATGTTTAAGATCTGGCTTATGCTTGCTTTGCAATACACCTATGACTCTTCCCACTAAACTCTGTGTACTACTATAACCTCTCTTGTTACAGATAAAAACATAATTCAGTTTTGAATCTAACATAAGCAGGATCATTATGTTTGGAGAGTGTTCCAAAGCCTGCTATTCAAGCAATCTTTGGCATATAAATAATGTAAGACCTCTTCTTTCTCCAAATGACTTCAGTTCAAGCACAGGCTCAGAAAGATGGAAGCCCAAATTTATACTGCCATTACAAAATTCAATCTATTTCTGGTTCTCCAATTGAATTATGACTCAGAGCCTTCCACTGCTTTCTGCACACCAACCCACACACTCCTCGCCTCTGCCAACCCATGCAGAAAAGAATCCTATTTGTGAATATTCCTGAGTTTTATTAGTATATTGAAATGGCAGCAAATCCCAGCTAATCTGAAAAGCCTTATGTTTTCTTTTAAAGGGAAGTAAGGTAGAAAATGTGTCTTCTCCCCCTCCCCCACTGACCTCTGAACCACAACCTCCTTGCCACTAAAGCGTTCAACACCTCATTTAATCTCTCCTCGCTGCAGCGGCACAGCACTGCAAAAGGAAAAGGGAAAAAAAATAATCTGGGGACTTCATCAATTTTTCATGAATTTTCATTTAGGCCAGAGCCCCCTCTAACAGTGGTCGATAGATCAAGCTGCTGTCACATATTTCACACCTGGGGCTCCAGCTGCTCTCCCCGGGGGCCGCCGCTGACTCAGCCCGGACTCAGAGCGGGACCCTCCGGCTCCTCCTCTCGCTCACTCGTGGTGCCCCAGCCCTGGCAGCTGAAACCCTACCCACTGGCACTGCTGCACATGGCTTTCCTGATATTCCCACTGGAAAGCCCCACCACGTAGGTTCAGCCGTGTCGGTTCGTACATTGTGAAAACCTCTGCTTTCGTTTTAAAACTCCTGGCATTCAAATACAAAAGATGTTTCGTGGAAGATTAAACTGTCTCAAGTCTGCTTCCCTTTCTGAAAACCTCCCAAGAAAATCTGAACGTCAACATATTCCTAATAATGGTTGGGAATTATTAGGAATAATAACCCTTTTCAATTTCAATTAAATAACTCTAACAGAAAAAAAAAGAAAGATGTTTTACTCTTCTGAACATAATTATTCATAGATGCTTTAGGACTAAAACATTTATTTTTAATGATTTAACCATAAAAACAGAAACACTACATGAGAAATTGCCACATGCACATCAGAAGACTGGGTTTGCTGCTGGCAATAGCGTTATTTTTTTCCCTTTTGAGGAGGCTCCTACTGAAAAAGTAATCTGCTCAAAGCACACCACGAATTAATGCATTGAAAGAATTAAATAGAATAAGTCATATCAGAGAATTACATATCAATCCTAAATTGTGCCTTCAAATACCAACTTTTTCTTCTAAATACCAACTATTTCTTCTTAAATGTCTTTTGGAATAAGGACTTCCCAAATTGAAGGCAAAAAAATTCTAAAAGCACATTCTGTATATTAATGAAGCTTTTTAACTAACTTTCCAGATCACAATTCTTTTCAGTTTCACTGGCATGGACAAATTCTTCTGAGGATACACATCAGCACAAAAGCATCTGCCCTGGACTACATGAACATGCTCTGAACAGACAGGGATTTAAAAGCCTGTGCCATGCCTTGGTACCCAAATTCATCAGGTTTGGAAAGGTGTTAACTGCTACTCAATCAAAAAGAGCTTAGGGATTTCAGCAACCTGCAAAAACTCACTCCAAAAAAAAACAATGGGCAAAATTATTGCATTCAACACGGGTCACACTCTGCTCTGAATCACTGTGTGTCCCAGCTGAATGTCACTTCTGTATTACACATAAGTATGGATATGTCAGAAGACTTTCAGTCCCACTGCTTTAGTGGCAGGTGTCATGCAGGGGGTAAAAAAAAAAAAGTAAATAGAAGTATATTAAGCACAATAACACTGTTTGTCATCTTAATGCCTAGGCATGAACACGTCTAACAGATACATAAACCCAATAAATATTTCTTCATAAATCATTCAAAAGTTGTTATTGGCAACTGATAATTTATTAAACAAAGTAAAACAATTACAGATTCTCTCTCTAAAACAGCAGACTCAAGTATTCTAAACCTGTAAAAAGCAGCAGTTTGTCTCTAATGGCACAATTTCAGGCCACCTACAGTCAGATAATAATCCAGAACCCAGTTGTCAGCAAAGGACAACCATCTTTTTTTCCCCCGATGATGAAAACAGCTTGGCCTAGTGTGGAAACGCAGTTTTCAACACCATGACAGACAGCACAAGTCAAAGCCATCACAGGCAGCCATCCTCCCATGGACCAGACTGCAGGATCCAGGCAACTCAACAGTCTCCAGCAGCAGCTGAGAACAGGTGAATGGGGACTCTCTGCTGACAACAGCCTGTCAGCAGCAACTCATTCCCTGAGCGTGCAAATGGGTCGCTGCAGACTTGCCCATCCTTTTCAGCCCAGAAATGCTGACATGAGAAAAACAAATAAGAGCCTTAAAATAACTCTTCTCTGCAAGTCAGTTGAAAATCTGATTTAGAACCAGAATTGTATTACGAAGCATCTCAAAACCAAGGGAAAAGCGGTAGTTTTGCTATCATCCTCCAAAGGACACCTTCAATACATGCCAAGTCCTGTGACATGCTTTAAAGCCAGTGAGCAAAAACCACAGCAGAATCTCTAAAATTAAGTGAACAAGCAATGTATATATTATTTACATTTTTCTCCTTTGATGAAGACCCTCCTGTAATCGCAGCTACACTATGGCCCAAGGAAAGATAAAGCACTGTTGAAGTGAAAAAGGAGAGCCTACTTTAGCCTGCTAAACCATTTAATTGGGGGATTCAGTCAGTTAAATCTCAAACCTATGAAAACAGTAAAATAATAATGTTGCTACTGCAAAAACCTCAGCTACGGTTTCACATCTCAGGTTTCACGTTCACGTTGATCCTGCCCTAAAATGAAGCACAGCTTTATTATATTTAAAGTTTTCTCCTATCTCCCACACTGTTCATGCATGACCTGCCACCAGCTACAGTTGTTAGACAAACTCCAGAGAGCACGGATGTTGTAACAAGAGCCTCTCAGCAGGCAGTGAAATAGGGATCAGTGAAAACTGACAGGATACAGAGCACATTTAAATTTCAGAATAATCGGGCGCTTTAATTCGATGACTCAAAGTACAACTGGAACAATCCTCTGAACTTCGGCTGGAGATTTCTGAATCTCAACAGGATTACAATAAAGATTTCAAGTGTTTATGCCTCTCTCCTAGGATTTCTCAACAGACAGTTAAAACTCATGCACAAAGTCACAAATAATCCAGTAATTTTACCTAGTCATACTCACCCAGATTTCAGCCTTCCTTAAACTGATCTTCTCCTCAGTTCCTAAATACCTACAAAACTGAATAACTTTCTGTGATGCCTTTAACTGGCACATTTACTTGTGCTTTGATGGTGTGCCAAAATTGTTTTCATTTTTTGACACAGTTCTAAATCTAGGCTGCAACAGGTGAAAAGCAGTGTAAAAGTCTGTTCTACTTGTCTTATTCCACTATTTAAATATTTAAAAAATGGCATTTTCTGCAATTTCTGAGAAAACTGAAGCCTCAAGATCAAACCACATTAGCTATAAAAGTCTGCAGATGGCATCAGGAATAAAGATTTCTCTTCTGTACTTCCCCCCTTTAAAAAACATACTGTCTAGTGTGTACTTAAATCCATTCTTTATCAACTAAGCAAAACAAGTTTGTGCTAAAGCCCTACTTCAAACATATCTCAGTGAAACCACTGTCAGATGAAGAGCTGTGGGAGGAAAAAAAGTAAGTCCAGCAAGAGGAGAGCATTCATAAATCTACTAAAACACACCTCTTTGTGAAGATACAAGTTCTGAATAAAAATGTGTTTATTCAACCTATATAACTAAGCAGCAAAAAAACATGTGCAACTCATTGTATTTTATGTCTGATGAGCTTGTTTTCTATGTGAATTATAATGAACATGTCTGCTAACTCTACTGGAAGCAGAGCATGCAGCCCAGGTGGTCTCTGAAAGAGCCATGTCGACTTCTCTGTTGAGACAAAGGGAATCGATAAAGACTAGGGCTGCTCCGGATGATATGAGAAATGGCCAACAATTTCACTTGCCATGGACATAATGAATGAGGCCTGGATCAAGTTCATGATAGAGGAGCATATATTGAGGTTTCCAGCAGTACAGAACATGAGTCACCAAGAAGCTGTCTGCTTCTGCTGAGGTAACAGATGATGAGATAAAGAGAAACAGACAGTGCACCTTAGATTAAATGATAGGTATTTTTCCACATTAGTTCCAGTATAACCAGCTTTAGGCATAATTTAAAAATTAGATTATTCTTCAGAGGAAAATTATCCTTTGTCCACGTTTGTGCCAATCATGTTTATACACCAGCTAGAACCTCATTTCAGTATAAATCACTTCTTCTATACAGTCACTGCTACCGAATGAACACACGTAAAAATGCCTTGACTAAGAGCTGCAGCTACTCACAGAAGGTCATATTTATCCACATTTGTTACCTCCCAGGATGCTGGGCGACAGAATAACAGCAACTCTGAAGTCTTACACAATGCTAATGGTACAAAACTACTCACATGCCACTTCCAGAGACGCGTTGCGACTCACGGCTTCTCCGAGGTAGTTCCTCGCTACGCAGACGTAACTTCCTTCGTCGGGTTTGCTCCTGCGCCCGTGCACGATGCGCAAGAAAAACAAAGAGCCGCTGGGCAGCAGCATGCGGTGGGAGCGCGGGTCGTCCTTGTCCGTCTCCACCCGCTCCCCATCCTTGTACCACTCGATGGTGGGGGTCGGCCGTCCCTCGGCTTTGCAGTTCAGAGTTGTTGGCTCTCCTTTAGACACTATCACGTCTGAAGGGTGCTCGACGATCCGGGGCGGAAAGTCCTCCTGGCGGAGACGGGATCCTGGAGAAAAAGAAAAAGGAGAGAACAATTTATTTTAACACAAGTTGCTCTTTTAAGGTCATAAAGTTTCCCCCCCTTCAAAAATTAACAATAAAATATGAAAACCTGTACACAACTGATATTGTTTTGTCTGCTATCAGAGACTATCAGATATTTTAAACCTAAAAACCCAAACTGGACTACAGATACACAGCTCTGAGGCATTTTCAAATCCGTACCAGGCTTAAAGGAGGATCTCTTACACATAATGCATGACAACCTTTTTCTTGTTACAATAATCTTTCTTGTTCCAATAATCTTTCTATTTACATTTATTTCTAGATCTCTGTGTGCTTTCAGAATCATGGCTGCTGCTCTCCCATCCTTTCATCTGCCAGATTCGATAGAAGGACATCCAAACCCAATGCATCTTACCGCCCATTGGTTAACAGTTCTTTATAGTTTTTTATGTATGCTTTGTATCCCTTTTCCACAAACAGTTCAGATATGGAAACAGAAGGAAGAAAAGAAAATCCCTATACAGATATCTGGACTGTCAGCTCACTTTAGAAATTTTCAGTGGATTGCATGCATATACACACATAGGCAGAGAATCATAGAGTGGCCTGGGTTGGAAGGGACCTGAAAAATCATTTAGTTCCAACACCTCTGCCATGGACAGGAACACTTTTCTTTACACCAGGATGCTCAGAACTCCATCCAACCTGTCCTGGAACACTTCAGAATTAGTTGTACAGACACAGTCCACCACTGCACCTTAGACTACATCAGTCTGACAACTGGCATTTCTACAAGAAACACGTCACAGCAGTTCATGCCTCTTCATTGGGTCTCAAAAATGAAGTAATCTTTTCTAGCATGGATCCTGAAAAAAGTCCTTTGAGTGGAGCTGCCACATTAGTACAACTGGTCTGCACTTCTTAAATACAAGGTAGGTCAGCTTCTGCAGGTTAGTGAAACATTTGTTTCAATTTTCTGATCAGCAGTTTTGCCAAGTCCCAGAAAAGCCATTTAACATCAGTGTCTTAATTATATTCTAGGTACTGCATACTTCAAAACATTGTCAATGCCTCTTTTACTCCAAAAGTTATGAGGAAAGGCATAAGGATCCATTCTACAGTGAATCCACCCTTGGACTTTTACTAACACTGAGGTCATTAAACCAAGGCTTGCCACAGCAGTAAGTGTTACACCACTGCTGCACAAATGGGCTTTTTCAGTGGATCCAGAGTCTATCACCAGGATAGCAAAGGAATCCATAATACTGTTATATGAAAAAAACTCCAACCTACACCTAAGCACAGATTAAATTATGGTACATTTAGCAACGAAAGATATATTTTATTCTCCCTTCTGTTGACAAGAAAAAGAAAGACATTTAAAATCTAGAAGGAGAATTTTCAGGTGAAGAGTATCTCTAGTCCATGACACTACAAACAACACTGGAAAAGACTGAAATCACCATTAAAGATGAACACTTGACAGTACATGGGACTAAAAAGCTAGCTTAATATATTGACTAGAGACATTTGTATTTATAAACTCTCCACACAAGTTTACCAATTTAATTCATTGCTTATTCGCAAAAAGCCAACAAAATCCCACTAGCTGTGTTAAAAAGTTTCTACAAACAGTATCAGGAAGAAAGGGAGAGCTGAGGTTTTCCTGAGACATGAGAGAGACTTAAGTCAAAGAAGAGAACAGATACAACTGAATTTTGATAAATGGTTATCAGAGGGCAATCAAATGAGCAGCACGAAATCCAAAATGCAAATCCAAACGATTAGTCTTCTTGTACACGACCATTTGTTGCAAGCTTTCAAAACTCCTAGCAGTACATTCAACACAGAATTACAAGCCATGTTCAAACCTTTCAAAAGGGTTTTCACCCTTAAAAGTTAAATCTTTTATCTTATAGAGCCTTATTCAAAACTGCTCCTCAGGTCACAGTAGGGCTAATTCTTCCTCCTCAGTACTGATATTTATCACAGAACTCATGTTTACCTCACTCTACCCTGTTTAAGTCATTTGTGCACAAGAGAGGGTTGAGATGTGAGCAGCAGAGACCATGCCAATCAGCAAGGAGAAAGGCTCAGGAGGTGTTCTGAGGGGGCCTCACACCACACATTCCTGTGATGGCTGGGTGTACCTTCAGCTACCCAGGAAGGAATTCCCTTCACTGTGCACTTAAGAGGGGGGAAGAAAAACACACACAAGACAGATCATAGAGAACAGCAAAGCCCCTCCTTCCAAACGGAACAGAGCACCAACAGCTATTCCTGCGGGATATGCTGATTTAGAATGAACAAGGGAAATCAAAAACTTGATCAAAAAATTGATTCCATTGCCTGTCTCTAAACACTTTCTATGGGCCAGAAAGAAACAGCCCCAAATGGTGTTTTCCTAGTTTTGATTCTTTCAATATGGCTCTCACCAGTACTTTTACGAATACAACCTTATTTAGAAGGAACAGGAAAATTATTAACCCCATGAGCTGTTTGGGCAGAAGATACTTTTGCTTTTACCAAAGAGCAAGATGGAATGATGATTTTCTTGAGATAGGTGGTTCTGCTCAAGCAGGCAGTCAGTGGTGTGTATCCTGGGCAACTTCCTTCTCCATTCCTCCCTCAAGGATTCTCAATCCAGGCGTATCTCACACACACATAGTGCATGAGAGTAACCCCTGAGTTTAAGAGTCCTCAAGAAGTCTTTACTAGGATGGACTGCAATGACTTCAAATGAGGCATTACATGCTGTTGGGCAAAACAAAAAATCCTGCAATAACAGGATTGTTAGAGTGAGTCCAGAGTAGGCCACCAATAGAGGGATGGAGCACCTCTCCTGCAAGGAAAGGGCTGAGAGACTTGGTTTTGTTCAGCCTGGAAAAGAGAAGGCTTTGGGATGACCTAATTGCAGCCCTCCAGTACCTGAAGGGAACCTATGTGAAAGACAGAGAGGGACTTTTTATAAGAGCACGTAGTGACAGGACAAGAGTAAATGACTTCCAACTGAGAGTGGGTTTAGATTAGACATGAAGAAATTCTTCACTGTGAGGGTGGTGAGGCAGTGAAACAGGTTGCCCAGAGAAGTTGTGGATGCCCCATCACTGTAAGTGTTCCAGGCCAGGTTGGATGGGGCTCTGAGCCACCTGTTGCAGTGGAAGGTGGCCCTGCCCGAGGCAGGAGGGTTGTAACAAGATGATCTTTAAAGTCCCTTCTAATCCAAACAATTCTGTGATTCTATCACAGCTAACTGAAAACTGCCACGGAGCTGCACCTGTGCAAAGGGGAGCACTAACACTCACCTGAACACACAGGCAGAGCACTCTTAGAGTTACTGCACATTAAGGCTCACACAGCTACCGCAGATGCCCAGTTATCACACCTCTCCAGAGGATTAGTTTCATACACGCCTCACCAACTAATTCACAAAGAAAGTTTTAAGATCATATTTTTCCGTATTACTTCACAGAATAATTAAAACCATCGTTCAAAAACGAACAACCAAAAGACACCCCACCAAAATACACATGAAAAAAGATAACGTGCAAGTCTATTATAGTATCCTACCTTTAGTGTTAATGTTTCCTTAGTATGACTACAGCATTTACCAAGAAGTTACTTCAATTATTCCATCACAAGTCAGTATGTCAGGCATCTCTGTTTAACCCACCTCTCCATGCTTTTATCCTCGTGTAGCTTTAAAACCTCTCCTTGCACTCTACAGCTATTTCTGGCACAAACTTAGCAATTCACAATCATTACTGAACATAACTCAGCAGTAAAAAGGATTGTGTCAGACAAAACCAAGAAGAGAGCAGAGATCCAATACAGTTGTGAGTGTCACAGCTGTACCAGTTGCAATGGCCATGGCAGGCACTGATGGGTGTGTATCAGGCACCAATCCAGTATAATTATTCTCCAAAATTATCATTAATGCTGGCTTTTGGCTGTCAGTCCAGCATTCAACGTGACCTTGGTGTCCTACAGAACACTGCTTATCACACAGCCCAGCACCACCTCACTAAGGTTCTGTAGGTGAGAAGCTGAGCAAGAAAAGGTGGATGAGGATGTTTCTCAGTATGTGCTGAAGGCACAAACACACTTCTAGTCTTTGGATTTCAACACGAGTTCGGTAATATCCTCTTGGGGGATGGGGGTGGAAATAAACACATAAAATCATTCTGCCTTAATGCTGTTTTTCATTAATGCTGACTTTTGCCAAGTTTGGCTCAGACCATGTTAGAGCCAAACCACCACATCAGTTTGCACTACTTCATAGACAGCTCAAAGTTCTTTCCTTCCAACAGCTTTTATGGGAATAAGGCAAAGACAGAAGGAAGTAGCAGCTGCGGGGCAGCTTCTGATATGTACTGATTAGGAACCTAAAAGTACAAATAATTCAGATTCTTTCAGAAAATATGGCTTTGGGACAGATGTCAGCTGGTATAAACACCATAGGACAGTGGATGCTGCCAGAGCTTGAAAACCTAATTTGGCCTAGATGCTCAGGCAATATTTCATTGGCTACCTGAGGTACTGAGCTTGGTAATCCTCAGCAGGTAAATCAGAACTACAGCCCAGCAGAAAGAGACAAGTGATGGAACTGTATTGATGTACCACTCTACCCCACATATTAATTTCTTACCTTAACAGAGTAAAATATTTTTCACTGATTTCTTCCCAGAAAAAGAGCAAACTAAGATGATCCTGCTAATTGTTTAGGGTTTTTCACCTTCACCCTGTTTGCTGTTGTTCAGATTCACAGTTCATAATACTATTATTTCATTTTTGCTTCTACTGGTAGATACCAGTACTCCTACTTAAATAGAGAATTTTTCCATGTTTCATAAAGGATGTATCTGAAATTCCTATGGTAAAATATAAATTACAGACTACCATTAGTGAAAGCTAAAATATGAGTCATGAAATCTTGTAATAAATTGGTCACTAAGCATTAATTATAGAAACATAGAATGATTTGGATTGGAAAGGAGCTTA